GGGGGGGGTGGGTTAGGGGGTGCAAGGGGAAGAAGGGGTGGGAGTCCTGGATGCCGTAGCTGGGCCGGGGCCGCTGGTAACGTAAACATATAGCCGCAGGCGCATGGTCTCAGCCGCCTGCCTTCCCTCGTCTCTGAACCCCCCTTCCCCCCCTCGCTCGGCGCCCTGCAGCAAACCCAGAATGGGCTCATGGAGTTCTGGGACACGGAGGACATGAGCCTGCTGTCTGCTGGCGAGCACTACATGGCCACTGAGGTCCAGTGGGACCCCACAGGTGAGCTGGCTGGGGGGTTGTAAGGGTGTACCACGCAGTAATGCTTTGGGAGGAGCTTGATGATCAGGGGGACAGCGTACCGGCTTTGCATGGGCGGACCGGGTGTGATGCGCGCCAGCCTGCCAGTCATGGAGGGCCTTGTTGGCGGGGGGGATGTGCTGAACGCTGGGCAACCCGTATCAGGCCAGGTGCTCCCAGCTGCTCCCTCTCACACCCACAAAGTGTCGTCGCCCAGCATGCTCCCCCTCTCTCTCCCTTAAACCCCAACCACCGCGAATCCCCGTGCCAGGCCGCTACCTGACAACCGTGGTGAATGCCCAGAACAGTACCGACAATGGGTACTACATCTGGTCCTTTGCCGGGCAGCTGCTCTACAAGTGGGTGCTCAATGGGGGTCCCCGATTTGAAGACCGGGAACAGGCCAGGCAGATGGGCTAGATGGGGAGGGCTTTTGTGGCACGACTACCTGGACTTGGCCAGGACAGATGGAGGAATAGAGCGCCCGCATGGGATTCCTGTACTGAGCCTCTGGGCAGCGCTGCATGGCACCTCCTCCCAGCACTTTGTCCTCTCCTCAATCTGCTCCCAGGGTTGAGAGGAATCGCTTCTACCAGTTTCAGTGGAGGCCCCGCCCCCCGACGCTGCTGTTGGCGGAGAAGCAGAAGGCCATCCTGAAGAACCTGAAGCACTACAGCAAGAAGTACGACGAGGAGGACGAGGCCATTCTCATGCAGGTGGGCGCTGCGAGGGGGGGGGGGGGGTCCTGGGCCCGGGGGATGGCGCGCGGGTGGAGGGCGTCGGGCAATGTGGCGACGCGTGATGCAGTGTGGGACTCCCCCCTCGACATGGCCAGTCCTCTCTGCCTGCGAGCGTGGATCGAGTTCTGCCACTTCTGTGACCTGGGAAGGCGCCCGAGCCATCCTGATCACCGCGCCCTGCTCCCCTCTCCCACAGGCGGACACCGAGTTCCTGGCCGCGCGCGAGAAGCAGATGGAGGAGTGGCGCGAGTGGCAGGCCACCAAGGCTGAGTGGGCCGCGGAGCAGGCCGAGGCGAAGAAGGCGCTGCTTGGGGACAGGCTGCGCGACGGGGACTTCACCGTGCAGCTGGCGGAGGTCACGGTGGTGCTGGAGGTCAAGGAGGAGGCGGTGAAGCTGTGAGGCCCCGCTGCCCTGCTTTCCTCGCGCGCATGCTCCGTGCGTCCCGCACCGTCACCCTGCGCCTCCCGGGCGCCCAGTGCACGCATGTAGCTTGCAACAAGAAGAGACCAGGGGAAAAGCAGGGCTACAGGGTTTGCTTTCATCTCGCTGATCGTGCGTGAGAGGGGGCCCAACCTCCCGGCCCCACCCCCAGATCACCATGTCGCGCGTCGTCGAGATCGCGATCGCCTTCTTCTTCATCTCCCACATCCCTATCACGATATTTGTCGACTCCCAAGCAGGTGGGGCGATAGATAGAGGGGAGTGATGGGGGGTTTGCCTGCTGGTTAGCCTAGAGGTCGATGACCAGGTTCCTCCTCCCGCAGTTTTTAGCGGCGAGCTGTACCATGCAAAGATTCGAGAAACTACAGAGTGGTACTTGAGAACCTATGGCGATCCACTGGTGCGCGGGTTGGTCTGGCTGATGCCTGCCATTGTGCCGTGTGTTGCTTGAGGGGTGAGATGAAATCCAGGGCAACTACGACGCAAAGCGTTTGTCGTCAATGTTCTGTGGCACTCAAACCGGTATGCATTCACATGCGCAGATGACGCCGCCGTACAAGCCCTGGTTCCTGTCGCTTGTGTACTCTGAGGTCTTCCTGCAGCTGCCCTTCTTTTTCGTTGGGGCCTATGCATTCTTGGGTGAGAGCTGCATGGATGACCTGCATCTCGGCACGTGGCATTCTGAAGATCACGCTCACTCTTAAGGCGCCAAGTATCTATGATTGCATGCGCTTGAGCCTCACGATGACGGATGCGGACCTCACCAGCCCCTCTGCCCTTCCATCCCATCGCAGCACGCCGGAACTGGGTACGCATACCGGCGCTCATGTATGCGAGCTTTGTGACAGCCACCATGCTCCCCATATTCTTCGAGCTCTGGTTTCACAAGGCGCCTGGGTACAAGCCAGCCATGGTTTCTGCTTTCTACGCACCCTACCTTCTCTTCCCGCTCCTGATCATTGCCAGGACGGCGTTCTCTGCATACCCCTTCAAGCAGCCAGCCCTGTCCGATGCTTGGAACAACAAGCAGAAGTGGGTGTAACTTGAGGTGCCAGAGATTGAATGAAATGGCTGGCAAGGCCTGGAGGGCACTGTATCAAAGCTACATCTTGCAAATGCTGTCCAATTTTGCATCACCAAACATATGCCCTTTGGATGTGTGTGGAGAGCTACGGCAACCATGGACCCTGCTGGCGGACTCTGTGGAGCCACCCGGCATGTACTGTGGCTTTGGGCATTGTGCATCTGGCCTTCAACATGCTCTGCCACGTGTGAGCAGAAGCTGCCTGGCTGATTTTGCTCGTCGTGACAATCGATACTGCGTCATTTTCAAGTGGGTCGACACCCAGTGAGGCAGCTCAATAAGCGAGCAAGCACCAGAGCAGCCAATCGTCGACTCCATGGTTTGCAGATACTCAGTCCCAGGGCTCTCTGACCAACGCAGGGTCCACTGCTGGCAGTCTTAGGTACAACTGCAGTATTCCTAGGCCGTCGACCCTGCCGCATCACTCCGCGTATCTCCCAGCCTTGCAGGCCCTCCCTTCCTCCCACCCCACTGCCCTCAGAGCTTGGAGGCGGGGCCAAAATCGTAGCCGCCCAGCTGCTTGCGCAGGGCCAGCTTGTAGATCTTGCCCGTGGCGGTGTGCGGGATCTCCTTGAGGAAGACCACGTCGTCGGGGACCCACCACTTGGCCACCTTCCCAGCCAGGTACCCCAGGATGTCCTCCTTGCTGGGGTTCTGCAGCGGAAAGGGTGGGGTGAGGCGTGTGTGTTGGGGCTGGGGGTGGGAAGCGGCGTAAGAGACCGGTTTGGAGGGGACGAGGCAGATTGCCTGTTCGGTGATGCGATCGCGCGCAGCGTCCTCCACATTCCTGAGCACAGCATTGGCCCGATGCAAACTCCCCCAGCCACCCCCCCCCCCCACAGACACCCACAAACAAACCTGTCCCGGCTTGGGCACAACCACGAGGAGGGGGCGCTCGGTCCACTTGGGGTGCGGCACAGCGATCACCGCGGCCTCGCCCACCTGCGGGTGCCCCACCGCCGCGTTCTCGATCTCGATGCTGGAGATCCACTCCCCCCCGCTCTTGATCACGTCCTTGGCGCGGTCCGTGATCTGCATGAAGCCGCGCGGGCTCATGGTGGCCACGTCCCCTGTGTCGAACCAGCGGTCGGCGTCCACCGCGGGGCGCCCCGCCTTGAAGTAGGACTGCAGCACCACGGGCCCACGAATGTGCAGGTTGCCAAAGGCCTTGCCGTCCCAGGGCAGCTCCCGCCCCGATTCATCCACGATGCGCAGGTCGGACAAGAAGTGGGGGCGGCCCTGGGTCAGGCGCTGCGCTGCGCGCTCCTCGGGGCCGGGCTCCACCCCCCCCGAGTGCACGGGCGTGCCAAAGGTGCCCATGGGCGAGGTCTCGGTCATGCCCCACATCTGGCGCACGTCGATGCCGTGCCGGTCGCCGAAGAAGTCCAGCAGCTTGCGCGGCATGGCCGACCCGCCGATGACCAGCACGCGCATGCGCTCCAGGCGGCGCGCCGGGTCGGCCTCCATGTGCGCCTGCAGCGCCAGCCAGACCGTGGGCACGCCGGCGGTGACGGTGACCTCCTCCGCCGCCATCAGCTCGTACACGCTGCGCCCATCCAGTGCGGCGGCAGGGAGCACCAGGCGCATGCCCACCATGGGCGCGGAGAAGGCGATGCCCCAGGAGTTGGCGTGGAACATGGGCACCACCGCCAGCATGGTGTCGGAGGTGCCGCCGCCCAGGCCGTCCGGCGTAGCGGAGGCCATGGCGTGCAGCACGTTGGAGCGGTGGGTGTACATCACGCCCTGGGGGTGTGGGAATGGGGTGGGAGGGATCGGAGGGATGCTACCATGGAGTTCGAATGTGCAAGGTGGGCGTTGGGGTCCAGCGGCGGGGGAGCGGGGCAGAGGAGGAGGTTGGGAGATTACACGTGCATGTGGCGTCTTCAGCTCCACACCCTGGCGTGCAGGGGTACGGGCCTCCGCTCACACGCCTGATCCGTCTCGGGATGGACAACGCAAGCCTGCATGGCCCTACCTTGGGTCGCCCCGTCGTGCCAGAGGTGTAGCACAGGCCGCAGCCCTGTCGCTCGTCGAGCTCGGGCCAGCTGAAACCCTTGGAGCGGGGCAGCCAGTCGGCCACCACAGTCTCGTAGCACTGAGCCCTCAGGCTGGGGGCCTTGGGCATGTGCCTGTGGCATGGGATATGGAGGTCACGGGTGGACGGTGTAGCAGGCTTCGACCATGATTGTGTATAAATAATAGAGCACCTGGATTGTGGTATTCAAAGAGGGGCACCACGGCACAGATGCACCCACTCCACGCAGAGACACCCTCCGCCCCCTTCCCCCCATTTAACAAACACGCAGATCTACAACCCACCCTTCATCGGTCAGGAAGATGTATCGCCGCACGCTGGGCAGCTTGGGGGCAAGCTCCTCCAGAGACTTTGCAAAGGAGATATCTGCCAGGATGATGCAGTCCTGCGCGTCGTTGATGATGTACTCCAGGTCGGCGTGGAAGAGGCGCGGGTTGAGGGTGTGGCACACCGCCCCAATGCCCATGATGGCGTACCAGCACTCCAGGTGGCGGTGCGTGTTCCAGGCCATGGTGGCCACGCGGTCGCCCTTCCTGTGTGATTTGGCGGAGAAGAAGAAAACCATGTCCATCTGGGGCTGAGACAGGACCACGGAACCCAGCCTTGTCCGGCATGCCCTCCCCTGGCCCCTTCCCAACCCTACCGCACCTGAAATCCATGCTCAGCAGGGCATTGGCAAAGGCCTGCGCCCTGGAGTGCACCTCCTTGTAGTTGGTGCGCACGATGGGGCCCTCCACCGTGCGGGACACCACCTCCGTGGAGCCATGGTACTTGGCAGCGTAATCGAGGCAGCGGGTGACCACCAGCGGGACGTCATCCTGCATTGTCCCCTCCATCGCAACTGAAATTGTCGTGGCCAAGCGTGGACGCGCTCTCCAGCCGCACAGATGGTGGATGCGCGTCGGAGGAGCGGCTGGCCTGCGATGCCAAGCCCCCGATCCTAAGGAGATCTGGGCACAGTCTTCAGCCCTCGTATGATTTGTTTCTACGAGTCATGTATGGTGCAACTTATTTTTACGGTGCCCTCTTGTGACGAGGACTCTGACGAGGATTTTGCATCACCTTCCGGAACCCGGAATCCACGCCATGCTGGGCCGAGGCAGCACCCGGCTGTGTAGGCCTGCGTTGCATAGGAAGCTGCTGAAACCAACTCCGATATGTGGAAATACATTTGGCTTGAATTGAACCGAAACGCTACAAGTTGGCAGGAATCGACGTACTGGTCGACTGTGGGACCAACCAAAATCCACAATCGGGAAAGATGTTGGTGTACCCACACCTTACCAAGATGTTATCATGAACGCATTCCTAACAGTCCACAGATTATACCGAGGCTGAACTTTGGGCTGATCATGCCTTCGGAAGCCGGAGATTGAAGGCAGTTCCCAGTGGAAGATGTTGGTGCCGGTGGTGAGGCAATGCCCGCCATCGTCAATGGTCGAGACCCTGGTCAGCCGAAGGATGCATTCGGCCATGTGCGTGCTGGTTCTAGGTTCCAGGCGCATGGGGCTGAATGGTAGATCTGCCCTGAAGATGCAGGGCCCCGACCACAGGTATGCCAAGCAAGGAGTAAAATACTACGTTGTCCCATTGTCACACAAGTTTGTGACATCCTCCCTGTCCCCTTGAAAGAAGAGGTCCGTTTGTATGTCTGTGGGTGTGATAAGGAGACGTGCTACGCATCATGCCCCCTGTGTGTGAGAGTGTGATTCCATAAACGGCCACAGGGTCTGGTAAAGATCAAGCCCTAGTTTCAAATATCTTCCTCATATCCTCAAACCCTATTCTGAGTGCACCCTAGAGATTAAGCATTGTTGACTGCACTACAGCAGCGTCTTGGATTGGGCGTATTGGTCAAGCGGTGCCACTGCCTATGAGCTTGTACGTGAATTCATTGCGGCTCAGATGGTTGCTCACAAGCACTTTGCTAGATGAAGGAATGCATTGACGGCCGAAAGTAGTCTCTGGCTAGACGAACTGCTACATCACAATCAAATTGAATTATGCTCGACTGAGCTATGGGATATTTATTCTCCAAGAGATTGTACTTTGATGATGCGCATGCTGTTGATTACATCATCAGAGCAGCCTGGGAAACACCTGCTTCGCGTCACTGTCTCTGATTGTCCAGAGGTGATAAGTTGACCTTCAAAATTGCACTAATACAGCGCGCTCGTAGGAAAGTGTGTCTGCTTGGAGGATCTGCTCGGTGACCTGGAATGAGCAGCCCTGCTTCATGAACAGGAATCTCTCCCTTTCCAATGGCACCCGGCTGTACTCTCGGCCTGGCGTGCGTACATGCTGCTTTCATACGTGCACACGAAGCCCACAGGCAGCCATGAGGCGATCTTGTATGTCTTTAAATCAGCTTACCGTTGCATAGGGGGGTAGCCACTCTGTTCTCAGCCATACTGCTCGTCCCGCAGTCCCGGCGGGGAAGAGGGGGAAGCATCTGTCACCGCTCGCTCCCATTGGCCCCGCCATCCTGATCAACTCATCATGGCTTCAAAATCATCTTCGCGACCGGAAACACCTCTGAAGGAGGAGGCGCATGCGAAGTTGCTCTCGATGGGCACTGCCGTCTTGTTTGAGAAGGTCCTCACCGGAAGCGATGCCAGCGGAAATGGAAGGATTGTGATTCCAAAGGTGTGCAATGTACCATGGAGCGATGTGCGGTGGACTGATGGCATGTAGGTTTGCATCTGCGAGCCGGCCATGGCAGTTGAAACCAGGGCCCCTTACCGCAGAACCATGTCCTCCCTCGGCTCGGGTGGATGTCTTCATGTGAAGATTCGCAGCGCCATATAATACATAACTGAGTCTTATGACGCCGGTGTTACCCACAGGGTCAGGCGGAGAGCCATTTTCCGGAGATTGAGGCCCAGACCGGGCAGAACTTCGTCGTGATGGACACCTACGGCAAGAAGCACACCTTCCGGTTTCGCTTCTGGATCAACAATGCCTCCCGCATGTGAGATGGAGTGGCATGAGGTTTACGACATGCGCAGGGTCTTGCATGTCAAGGACTGCGTGAGCTGAAGCTCGCTCCCCTTCCCTTCCATCACACACTCAGGTATCTGCTGGAGAACACCCAGGACGTCCTGAACCGGTATGCCATGCAGGCAGGCGATGTCCTCATCTTCTCCAGGAGCCCCGAGGGCCAGTACTGCGTCTGTGGCCGTCAGGGCACCAAAGAAGATGTATCAAGGTACCATTGAGTTGGATGATTGTGAACCTTGATAGGGGAAAGATGTTTTGTAGGGATGCAAGTGGTGGTTCAATCGTCACTGCATGCGATGTGTCCTGCAAGCAGTGAAATTCAAGCAGTGAAAGGGCTGTCACCATCCAGTCGTGCCTACAATCCTGCACAGGAAGACCGCCACCAAGAGGCTGACGGAGGGAGCAAGCAGCAAGCGCGGCGGCAAGACATCCAAGCAACCCCACACGGACCTGGCGAGGACCAAGCGCATGAAGTCGAAGCATGAGGCCTCGCAGGTGCCTGGCTGGCCGAGGGTGGAACCCGGGGCATGGGCATGGGGGCGCCGACCGCAGGGGGCTCTGTGCGCACTGCAATGACCTCTCCAGCAAGCGCACCTGATCTGGGCCGCGAAATCTGCCACTCCCCGTCCGCTCAGCCCCAGTGCGCCGCCCGCCGCCCATCCAGGTGCAGAGCGTCTACTCCTCCTACTGGTCGGGCTACTCCCTCCCGCCCCGCCGCGACGGCGTGTTCCGGGCCGTCCCCAACGCCTCTGGGCACGAGACCGGGAAGGTGGGTTCCTTGGGGAATGTTTTTTGGTTGTGGGGGATTGCTCTGCACCAATCCCCGTGCGCTTGAAGCCATGCCGCCCACCACCTGGACCCTCCAAGCTCCAGTCAAATTGCCGGGGCGCGAGGCACTCTGTGCAGCAGGCTCCCTGGGGAGTCTTGCCCTCGATGTCATGTGGGGATGCATCGCGCATGACCCCCAACCCTGGCGGCAGCTGCAGCGGCGCCTGGTCCCCCGGCCGCCCCCCCCCCCCACTCACGTGCATCCCCACCCACCCCACAGGTCATGGCCCAGTGCGGCTGCTGGACCGCCATCGTCGACCTGTGCGGCGAGGCGTTCCAGGCCTTCTTTGAGACGGCGGAGTCGGCGGCCGAGGCGTTGGAGGCGGCGCTGCATGCGCCGCCCATGCCCCCGCCTCCCATGCCCCCGCCGGCCCCGCTGCCCGCAGAGCCTCGGCACCCCCTGGCCCCCCGCGCATCCCTGGGCCAGCTGGCGGAGGCCGCCGCGATGATGCCGGGGCTGTCCCACATGTCCGGCAGGAACCTCGGCCCCCCCCTGGGCCTCGCAGCGTGACGCACACTCGCCACATTGACGCCGTTTTCCCTCTGCTGGGGAGTGGCACTGTCCCCTCCACATGACAACATGCATGCTCCCCCGCCGTCCACCTCCTCCAAGCCCGGGAGCGTGCCGTGGCTGGGGCATCTGCACATCGTGACTGGCGCCTGGCCCCTTTCCTTACAGGCCAGGTGCCACCCTCTGGGATATTCCCCCTGTAACAACAGGCACATGCTGCAAGGTCCAGGGGCAGGGGCACGCCGGGCAAGGGCATGCCCCCATCTCTACTCATCGGCTGCCGCCGCCTCCACCTCCTCCCGCATCGACTCCAGCATGCGCACAAAGTCAGACCGGCCACGTAGCTCGCGCTGAAATGCGAAGCGGAACTGGCGCCAGCGCCCACCCGTGGGCTCCGGTGGGGGTTCCACTCCCGAGGCGGCGGCCTGAACTTCCCGCGCCAGCACGGTGAGGCCCATGCGGTCGGCGGCCACCGCCAGGGCGCCGGGGCCGGCCTCCACGCCGAGGTACCCGGCGCAGAAGAGGCGCAGGGCGGCCTGCCACCCCTCCTCCTCGCTCAGCATGCGAAGCAGGTCCATCTGGCTGTAGGCTGCATGATGGTTGTTAATGCAGGGGATGGAGGGAGCATGATCGTGGAATAGTCCGACGCTGCCTGGGCGCTGATTGCCTGTGGACACCACCAGAATTGCTTGGGGTGTTGAGGTCAAGCACGCAAGGGTGCAGGCTGGCAAGACCCTCCCCAGAGAACCCTTCACCCACCTATGGGGTCCAGGAGTGCGGCATCCACGGCCTCTGGGGCAAGCTCGTGCTGCTTCCCGGCAGCATCCACGAGCTGGCAGCGGGAGGGCTCCGGCAGGCTGAACCCCCTGAGGTGCTCCAGCTCGGACTCCGGGGGCAGGAGGTCCAGCAGGGACGTGCCCCGCCACGCGCGCCGGGCTTCGGACACCTGAGCCGCCACCTGCGGAGATGGCGGGGAGGGGGATTGAGGAGGTCCGGTGAGCACAAGGTCTGGCACGAGGCCATCGGGGCAGGCGGCCCGCGAGCCCCATGTGGTGCTGGCGATGCCCAGGGGCTCTCAGGAACAAGCCAGCTTCGAGGCTTTCGGCCCCTGCAATCTGTGGATTTGGAGCCCTCCAGGCAGAGCGCCTGCATCGGCCCAGCCCGCCCCGCACCTCGGAGGGTGTCACAGGCGCCAGGCCTCCCAGCAGCACGAGGCGGGGCGGCAGCCACCCGGCCGCCCTGACGTGCTGCAGCAGGCCCGGCGGGTCGGTGGCGCCGTAGCACAGGCTGGCGGGGTTGGTGGGGTTGAGGTCCAGGTCACGGAGCGCCTCGGCGTGCAGGGCGGGGTGCAGGAGGACGAGGGGGGGCAGGCCCCGGGGGGCCAGGGCGTGCACCAGGCACGAGCCAACCTTGGGCTCCGTCCCGGCGTTGAGGGCCTCCCCCCGCACGGTCGTGAGCTGGGCCCGGGGGTTGCCGGCCAGGCACGCCTTGGCCACCTGGGCCAGGGGCAGGCCCTCGGGCCCATCCGTCGCTTCGCTGCTCCAGCAGCGACCGAGGCCGGGGGTCAGGGCGCGTCGCAGGTCGGTGAGCTGGGGGGGCCGGGCTGTGAGCTGGGGGCACCAGGCTGCTCGCTGCATGGCCAGCAAAGCCGCCGCGGCTGCCATGGGCAATGCGGAGCGACGCGATGTTGATGCGCAGTGGATCGACCCATGCGCTGGAGGGTCTGTCTGTCGTGATTTTATCCTGCTATACCAGAACCAGGCGACAGGATCCACGTGAATGACCCACCGAAAATTCGGCCTCGAAATTCGGCATCGCGATTTCGCGAAATACTCGGCTGAATCCCGAAATTTCGGTGGGCCTGCCTGGTCTCTTTCTCGTGAGAGCTGGCTGTGCGACAAATCATGCGTGCCTCTACCGACAACCTTGCGGTAACATCATGCCTCCAGCTCTGAAAAACATGGCCTACAAGCATGGTCTCTCCACCCCCTCGGCTCATATAGCTCGAGGCGCAAAGAATGATGAATACCCTCCCACCATCTACGGAAAGAGGCGGGATAGCAGGGTGTAGCCGCCCCCCGTCACCAGCAGCAGCCCCGAGGCGGTGGGAATCCAGGCGGAGTACCGGCGCACGGAGAGGACCTTGGTGGCGCCGCCAGTCAGCACCGCGGCAGCCAGCAGCGGCGCGACGTAGCCCAGGGTGTAGGTGAAGAGGAGTGCCGCGCCCATGCCCGCCTGCTTTGTGGTGCTCACGTATGCCAGGAGGCTGGCCAGGATGGGGGTGGAGCAGGGCGAGGCGGCCAGGGCAAAGGTGGCCCCTGCAGGGGCGTTGGGGGTTCGATGCCAGGTTCGCACGTGTGCAGCAGAGGAAGAGGGGGGAGGTGAAGACGTGGGCTGCAACAGCTGAGGAGTAGAGGGACCGCAGTAAGGGGCCCGAGATTCTCTGCACCCCTCAAGCCTTCAACACCCAGCCGTCCACGCACCCGCCAGGAAGGCCTGCACGAGGGGGGGGAGGCCCAGGTCCCGCACGTCCCAGTCCAGGGTGGGGAACCGGAAGCTCAGCACGCCGAGCAGGTTGAGACCCATGGCCATCGCCACGATGCTGACGAGGATGGGTGCCACCGAGCCCGCCGCCTGGGGACAGGGATTGGGTTTGGGTGCGCAGGGGTTCACAGAAATCCTCATGTCGCCGGACGGATGCATGGCCATCCCAAAATCTGGGCGGGACCGTCACGCCCTCACTCCACCCAGCACCACCCTGGGCTGACCTGTCCGTATGCTACACCCACGAGGCCGCTGACGAGGCCCAGGAGGGCCAGGGAGGCTGCGAGGCCGGTCGCAAAGGCGGCCGACCTGGCCAGCAGGGACGTGCCGCCGGCCTGATCGCCGTAGCCGCCGATGTACCCAATGGTGAGGGGGAGCACAGAGAGGGTGCAGGGCGACACGCTGGTCAGCAGCCCGGCGGCACCCACTAATAGGAAGGTGGCCTGCCCGGGATGAGCCAGCTGGGCGGTCAGGGCGCTGTCCAGGGCCTGCACCGTCTCGAACAGGGGCCCGACGTCCAGGCCCGGCATGTTCATGTGGTCATGGGCCTGCACACGCCACGATGCAGGCCTCGTGGCTGCGAATTTGGGGATGAGATGGGAGGGGACTCGTCGCATGGAGTGCATTCTGCACCATACGCTCATGCCACCACAGATGCTCCCAGCGCGGGCCTCGTCGAACCAATGCACCACCTAGCACTCACATGTTCGTAGCATGTGATGTAGACTCCGCCCTGCCATGCATCCGGCGTGTAATCGTGGAGTGCATGGTGGCCCGAGTGGGCCGGGTGAGAGCACTTCTAGCATGGGATGGGAAGTGTAAAGTGCTGTCGCTGGCGAGCTCCTGGGATGCGCTGTCGTAAATTCCCACAGAAACAGAAATAATACGAATGTGCATGATGCTTGAAAGGGGTCGATAAACACGACACGACAGACGAGTGCATGAGCGGGGACCAGACATCTCGATCACTCCGAGACGCTCCGGTCTGGAAGGGTTTACCAATTGCTGAAGGGGAGCGGCAAACGCACGCAACAAGATAACACTGTGCCCTCAAACTCAGAGTTTCCGATTCATCGGCCCATCTGACACCCCTGTTCAACACCATAGAGGGTGTCAAGCTGTTGCCCGGGCTCGTCACTTTGCGAGCCAGTACCCATACTCCAATGCGTGGGCGCCTAGGAGCCACCAGCCAGTTCAGGCGTCGCCCTGGAATGACGCCCAATGCAGTGGAGTCCTTCTCCCTGTGGCTCATGCCCCATGACGGGGCTCCAGGTGGGTCCCTGTCTGCCACCAGCCGACAGTCACGACCACCCTGACCACTCCAGCCTCAAGTCACTCCCTGTCACGGCCCATTTCGCGACGCAGAGCATCCATACAATGAGCGTCTCCAGAGAGAGATCAATGCCCAGGCCAACCGGATTGCGGGGGCTCCCAGCTTTGCTCCCCATGTTACCCTGCTAGGGGGCATCGAGGGCACCGAGGATGATGTCCTGGAGCGAGCCGACAGGCTAGGGGCCCAGCTCAAGGTGGGAGGCTGGAAGGACTGCCATGGTATAGAGATGTTGATAGTTCTGGGCCTGGCGCGGCACAACATCCTGCGATTTCAGGCGTTCATGTGTAATAGTGGCCGAGCGCCACTTGTTGCCAGCAATCTATCACGCAGGAGATACCAACATCCCAGATGACCCACCACCACCTTGCAGCCCTACGTGATCAAGTTTGATAAAGTTAAGGCCGGCACTTCTTTCTTCCAGTGTGTGTTCATTAAATGCCAGGAGACGCCGGCAGTCATGCAAGCGGCACAAGAAGCCCGGTCCAGCTACGGAAAGGACCCAGACGAGGTCTACATGCCACACCTGTCCCTCCTGTATGCAGACATCACCCAAGAACAGCGGTGGGCACCCGGTGTGGGTCTGGTGTTTTGTGGGCCAGCCCTATCAGTACCCTCCAGGCTCGTTACCACCAGAGTGCTGACTCAATGCTTTTTTATGGGAATGTCAGATGTCCACAAGCTTCACACCTTTGCAGGGAGGCTGTGGCCCAAGAAGCGCAGGCCAGGATCTTCCCTGGCCTGCTGGACAGCATTTTCCTACAAAAAGGTGACCCCGGCGTGGGCACCGGGTTCCTGGTAGACAGCATGTCGCTGTGGCGCACGCCCACAGAGGACAAGAGCCTGAAGAACTGGGAGCTGGTGGCCACCATCCCCCTGACAGGATGACTGTTGGGACCTAGCTGCTGCAGGGCTCCCTGGCCAGAACTGAGACCTGCTGCACAGCCACGCGTATGCGACGCGCTTATGTCCAATAAAGCATCGTAGGGCCCAGCGCCCATCACCTAAATGAGCCCACTGGGCGCTGCAATACATGTTTCCTGCCAAACCTCCCTTTCTCTATCCTGAATTTGAAATCACTGTGTGTCTTCTGGGACCAGTCAAGTGCAGTGCATCAGACGGCTCGAAGGACGTCCCACTTCCACGTCACGCTTTTGGCCTCGGCCTCGGCGGCTGCCACGCGCAGCGCCAGCTGCGGGCTGGGCCCCTGTCCGCCTTCGGCCAGCATGCCCGGCGGGGGCGAGGCGAGGATGGCGGCGCCGGTGGCGGCGCAGGCCGCCACCAGCTCTCCCACCGCCTGCTGCAGCCGCCGGGCATCGGACTCATGACCCAGCAGCACCAGGAACTCGGCGAGCTGGCCCATCTGCAATGATCAGAGGGAGTCAGAAGACGAGCTGGCCAGGCGTGAATGCAGGGGGGTGTAGCGAGTGCAACAATGGGAAAGCATGAACGAGTCAGGGAGCGATCTGCTCCGGAGCAGCAAGGTCTATGGCCACTGCAGGAGGTCCTACAGCCGCTCAGCCTCGGAATCCCCCGCAAGGGCACTCACTCCCCCAGCAACAGCCGCACAACAGGCCACCAGGAGGCCCCGGTCTTTCTCTTGGCAGGGCATCGCCCACCAACCCCGCCATTTCTCAAGAGCCCGCATACTCCCAGGAAAACCCTTTTCCGCTCAAAACCCCCCCCCCCCCCCACACAC